TATACAGGGTATTATAATTTGGGCACTGAAGCAAAAAAATTTTTGATGTACTATAATTTTTTTGAAACACGATAATTATTTAAGTACTTTACGATAATATTAATTTGAGAGTCTGGCAACAACGTTACATTTCGTTTTTTCTCACTACCCTGCGTAAAGAAGTTTCACTTCAACTATTCGATAATAAATATTGTAATTTTGGTATTTTAGTCTAAAGTCTCTAAAATTGTTTTATATTACAAATTTCTGACTGTACCTAATACCTATAGCCTGTGTATCGGTGACAGCGCAATATTAGTGAGATAAGGTACCACCTGTGCCTACCAATATATTTGTTTATCAATTTCTTATTTTTTTTCCATATATGTATTTACAAAATTAAAAAAACCGAAAGATACTCTAAAATGATTGTTAATAGTTAGGTTGTAGATACCTAAAAAAAAGTGTCTCCAGAAACAATTAAATACCACATAATATCATTGTAAGTCAACAGGTACATTTATATATACACTCAGAATCTAAAATATTATATGATAATGTTTGATTATTAAACGGGAATTAATCTAACCTAATCATTTTCTTAAGATCACTGTTAAAGATATTTAATTACATTTATTGATTAGATGTGTTCGTGTAGAACTTGGAAATATTTTTTTTTACTATAAAATAACTAACCATTCACGTTAATTTTATGGGATGTCGGAAAAATTATACTTTATTATGTAGGTATTCTGATATTTGGTTATTTCATACTTGTACGGGCGTTGTACTGCCAGACTGACGTCTGACAGTTAATTAATCCACTATAATATTAATATATATGTCTATATATCCAACATCATATTAATTAAGGAATTATTTCATAGAACTTTGGTAGGTAATATGAACTTCAGTTTGAAAACAATATTATATTTTAATGAGCTCGTTAAGAAAACAGCTATATATATAAATTTTAAATAGTTAAATAGATATATGACTTAAACGATATATGACTAAAATGGTAAATTACCTTCAATTCCTTAAAATTTAAATAACACATTCATTTAAATTTCATATTTAAATTTGTAATATAATAACAATTATTTTTGTGGAGTTAGAATAAATAACCCGTGTCAACGTAAGCCCATTGGGTGGTTGTTCAACTGTGGGAGAGGGTACTGTAGATTGGATTAACACGTGTGTTTAGTATTTGGCAGAATTTCGAATTGGGCACCCCACAACCGGAAATCCACAACAGGCGCAACACTGGCAGCCAGTGTTGGGACCAGTACAGACTGTCTTATATCTGGGATGATAATGCTTTACCAGTACTGGCATTCGTACTGGCCAATTATTGACAGTGAATACTAGCTAAGTAATAAAATTTAGAGATGGCACCAGTACTGTCATATATCTGGGATGATAGCTACGAGAGACATTGGCTAGCCTTTACCAATAATTGATAGAGCCCGACGCCCGTATTATACCAGTGCTTAGGCGAGGCTTGGCACCTCTACGAGAGACACTGGCTAGCCCTTACTTGTAATGTATATGGAGTCGACGCCCGTAGTGTGTCACTTGTGTCAGTAATTTACCAGTACTCAACCAACGCTTGGCACAACTACAAGATACACTAGCTGGCCCTTGCTCAGTATTCATTCGGCACCTGTAGTATGCCAGTATTGATATATATATATATGCTAGTTTTGCAGTACTAGTGCAGTACTGGATATATTTTTGGCCAGAACTGTGCCCGTAAGGGCCAGAAAACTGTTGTTAGCCAGTACATGCGCATTACACCGCCCTTTGTTAGTGTCGGCGTAAGACATAAATTTCCGATAACCGATATTCTGCCATGCCCGGTGGGGCATGTCAGCCTCTCTCTATAGACAGTTGCCTGCCCAGAGAGAGGAGCCGCCAGTGGTCGAGATTCGAACCGTCGACGGTCCACGTCGGAACAGACGCTGTAGTCCGCTCGGCCACTCCGTCCTGCAAGAATAAATAATATTTACCAACTATTTAACTAAGCCTGTGTTAAAATGTTATCATAATTTCAAGACAATAAAATCTATTAAATGATATAATATGAAATAATTTTGTACTTCAATTTTAAATTTTTAAATCTAAATTTATATTAACATTTTATCAAAACAAATATAAAAAATATGTTGGCTTTTATTCCTGCTGCAAAGATTGGGCTCCTCGGGGTTTTGGGTAAGTCTCTGTCTTTAAAAATAAGCTGACGGAGTTCGGAGATTCGTGACACTTATTTGATATACCTTTTTGAATTTCACATGAACACTTTTAAAGCTGCAGTTATTATAGTTACTTTTCCTAACTCATAGCTTGTAGAAAACTTTGTTAAATATTGAAAAAATTACCCCTTTAAAGTATCGTTCAAATTTTATTTTATTCCTTTATTGAATAAATCATGATACCTTTTGAAGTTTTGTGTAGTATTCCATTCAGAGATAAAAAGTGTTCACGAAACTATTTTATATGATTATGATTTCTTCAAACAATACTGCTTTTTTCGATTTTATAAATATATATGATAATAATTATTAACTAATAAGCATCAAAATTCAAAGCTTCTTGAAATTTCAATAAATAAACATATTTCAAAAGTTATCATCAACTATTTATAATTTAATGACATTTTATAAGTGTTAATACAATTACAGAATAGATTATGTACCTACTTAATCATATCTGTGTTTTGATTGTTAGTACATAGAAAAATATGCAAATATAATAAATCATAAAGTTAGGTAGGTAGTAGAATTAAAAAAAATAGTGGAAATTAAAATAAATAGTGGATTATATCAGTTGAAGTGTAACAATATAATTATTAATAATTTATTGGTAGATACAGGACAATCATGCAAAATAAATTAATCATCCAACGCAACAGTACCTACGCAACCTTCTAATGTAGTATTAGGAAGGTTTTTATAATATTGCAAGTTACAAAACCATAATAATTTAAAACATAGGCAACTATGGTAATAAAACATTTATTTTATTGTATTTTATTATTTTATGCTAGGTAGCTCTGCCCAGTGGACGCGTAACTGACCAACCACTGTAGGGTAACAACACCTGCGTCGGCCCACACTGAACTCCTTGGGGGCTTCGCTCCTGCTACCTACATAATAAGAGACGCCCCATTATAAATCTTTTTATTTAAAATATTTGCATATAAATTGAATTAAATAGTCTAACTATTAAAATGTCTAACTGATAAATAACATTAAATATTTTATTTAAACAGTAATCAAAAATGTAATACTACCTACCTATATTTTATATTTTAGATTCTGAGCGGAGCAAGGAAGCTATTGGTTTTACAATGGTGTTTATTTATTTTTTTTTTATATCTGTATACAAAATGTCTACCAGAAGGAATGCTTCGATTTCAACATAATATAGTACCTTACCTTTTAGAAAATTGGATCAAGATGGTACTTTAAGGAGGTCATTTTTCGATTTTCTCAACAGTAATATAATGCCACGTGAAAAACCACTGAAAAATTACGAAAAACCACTAAAAATGGGAATTTAATTTATAAAGCTATGTTTATAACCCTAGAAACGAATAAAAAAAAGCGGGTAAGTGGATGTCGCTCTACTGTACAGTAGGTTACAAGTGAAGGGTCATTACTCATTGTATAATGGATTGTATTAACCTCGAATTCAATGATATAATATTATCATTGTATAAGAAAAACGATTCTGAGAGGAGACGGTTTGTCAGTCTAGATATTTTATATTGTCATTAATTATTATATCATGTAAGTTGAATTAATATTACAATATTATTATTTTTATTCGTTTCTATGGTAATAAACAAAGCGTTAGAAATTAAAATCCAATTTTGAGCGGTTTTTCGTAATTTGTCGGTGGTTTTTATTTTAAATAACTATTGATAAAATCGAAAAATGACCTCTTTAAAGTACCATCTTGATCCAATTTGCTAAAAGATAAGGTACTATATATTGAAATCGAAGCACTCATTCTGGTAGAAATTTTGTATACAGGATATAAAAAGAAGAAAAAAAATAAACACCATTGTAAAACCAGTAGCTTTCTCGCTCCTCTCAGAATCTAATAATAATATTATAATATTAATTCAACTTACATGATATAATAAATAATAGCAATATAAAAAATATCCAGACTGACAAACCGTCTCCGCTCCGAATCGTTTTTCTTATACAATGATATTATTTCATTAAATTCAAGTTTAATACAATCCATTATACAATGACTCACTTGTAACCTACTGTACAGCAGAGCGACATCCACTTACCCGCTTTTTATAAATATTTTTTCGATGAGTGTACAGATTTAACTTAAAAAACATTTTTAAAAAGATTCAAAATCCTCATACTACTGATCACATTCAAAAAACGTTTCCTATGGTACAATACAGATAGTCTATCCTTAGATTTACTGGCGTTTTCAAATGTTTTTTTTTTAACTTATGGGGTGACCAAAGTGAAAATAAATATTCAATTTTATCTTGTTAGTAGGTATCATATGTTTGATACTTGTATACTTATACATTTATATTATGTCTTCCTAAAGGAAATAAAATGATAAAAGTATAATATATTCGTATAAGACAAGAATATAGAACTAACTTGAGTGGTGACATGACAAATCTCGCTACAGAATGTAGACGTAAATTATTTAGAAAAAAATCATATAGTTCTGCTTCTGCAAGTGAGTGATCAATAATAACCGTTGAAATAATAGTAAATTGTGTATAAGTCATAGGCGTGGCCAGACTTTCTTGTCAAGTGTTGCTAAAATGTCACAAAAGTTAAAAAGTTCCAAAAATTAAAAATTTTATTTAATGAGTTGTTTATTTTATCAATTAGATATTTTTACAGAGTAGTAAATGGTAATTTATATATTTCTTACATTATAAATAATTAAAAATGTTAAATAAACTAATTAAATCAAACATATAAAAAATTGAAAATTATACATTAAAAATATAAAATAATACAATATTACAATATCAAACGTCTGTTGTGAGGAATGATATTTTTGAACTCATCAATTATATTATCATAGTCAAGTTCTGATAATAGTTCTTGCTCGACAAACATCAGTAATAACGCTTCAAGTCTATTTTGTGTCATAGTATTGAGAAGTTTTGACTTGACAATAGAGAGTTTAGAAAATGACCTTTCACAAGAACATGACGTGACTGGAATGACCAAAAATTCCATTAAAACATCATAAAAATGTGAAAAAAGGTTTTTTCGATCTAACTGCTGTAACCAATCTAACCATTGATCAATATTTGTTGTAGAAGATCCACAAGGAATGTCAGTAAATCCTTTAAGAAGTTTAATTTCTTGTTCTAGTTTATCCATGTCAATTGTAAATACTTTATTGAGTAGTTTAATATTGTCAACTGTTGGACTAAGTTGCAAAACATTACCGACAGAAGAAATAATACCTAAAGTTTCTTGACTAAACCTATCATTTAGCCCACTTATCATATTATCAAGTGCTACATTAAAACAGTTAATTTTTATTTCCTGTTCCATCGTTTCATGAAATATTTGAGATGAGCTATTTTTACTATCCAACAGACATTAGACTTTTCTTTTACGGACTTCTGGAATACTTATATTTTCCAAAGTACATGACTGAACGGTTTCTTTGTATAAATTGTTAAAAAAATGAGTCATCTGACCGAAAGTTTTGAAGTGTAGTATTCAATAAAGTAATTAATGAAATAGCTGATAACAAATTAAGTTTAGCCTGAAGATTTGCCCTTACTTTCACGATTAATTTTAAAATTGGATACATCATATTGATATTTTTATCATATATGATAAATCATCTAACAAAAGTTCAGGTGTTGCTATAGCATACCCAGCAACACCCTTAAACACGCCTATGGTATAAGTCAATTTAGCTTTACAGATATAGGTAGTTATTTCATAATCATATTGATATATTGTCGCTTTGTGTCGTTCGGTCTTTTTAGATATTAATATTCCATTTATATCGAAAGTCGTTTCAATCACAATTTTTAAAATTCAAATTAATATTATATTATAGAAAAAGTAAGTAAGTACCTCATGTTGACATTTAAAAAAAATCCTGACGTTTGCATTTGAATCTTAATTTTTATTTATTTCATTTTTTACAGTTTTTCGGTTTGCGAGCATCAAAGAAAATGTTCGTTATTAGAATAATATTAATTCATATTATTAGGTTGGTATATTATTTTTTGGTTCTATTAATTGTATATTATGATTAATATTATTATATTGATTTAATTTTATTAGAATTAAAATTAATGATTTTAAGAGTTTTATTATTATCGATTTCAATATATAGTACCTTATCTTTTAGCAAATTGGATCAAGATGGTACTTTAAAGAGGTCATTTTTCGATTTTATCAATAGTTATTTAATTCCACGGTAAAAAAACACCGAACAATTACGAAAAACCGCTCAAAATTGGATTTTAATTTCTAAAGCTTTGTTTATTACCATAGAAACGAATAAAAATAATAATATTATAATATTAATTCAACTTACATGATATAATAAATAATAACAATATAAAATATCTAGACTGACAAACCGTCTCCTCTCAGAATCGTTTTTCTTATACAATGATAATATTATATCATTGAATTCGAGTTTAATACAATCCTTTATACACTGACCCAATTGTAACCTACTGTACAGCAGAGCGCATCCACTTAACCAATTTTTTATTTGGGTTTTTTTACTTTATAAGAATTTGAAATTTGTCAAATTGAATATAATTTAAATAAAGATTTAATTTTTTTTACAGATAATAATTGAGTTAATACTGAATATTTTTTTAAGTCCTTCTTCAACTTTGTAGTTGTCAGCCTTCAAAACCACACTGAAAAACATATGCCATGCCATCTTTCCCTATATGCATCACTTATATTCGCCAATCTTAGTTTGGTTTTACCCGCTTTACATTTTTTGTAGTCGGGTCTTTCCACCTTAACTTTGGACGTGTCATCTTCTGGAATAGGTACCTCATTGTAAATCATTTGTAAGGACGGCCCGAGAGGATGAAGTACGTGCTTGTAACTCCATGATAAACCCCAAAAAAATGTATATCTCATTGTACCAATTTGTATAAGATAAGATTATTCTTTCTACCATTTATGGCAAGACCAAAAGTGCCACCTTTATATTATATAGTACCTACTATATTGGGTTTTATATACAGTTATTCTATCTCCACATTATTTTTGAACCTTAACAATACTTTTTAATAGAGTTTTAATTATATTAGGTAGGTATTTGGTTTATTATTTTAAATAATACATTGAATTACTTACTTAATTATTAAATTTAAATAGCTTAGAAATCACATTATATTAAGTATGTATTACCACTTTTACCAGGAAATATTATATATTTTTTTTTTATTTTTTTGATATTTTTTAATATAAAGGTATTACTCTAAATTTATAATTTTCATTATTTTTGCAAAATTTTATTTTTTAGAGGTGCTGATGAGACCCCCAATTGTGACGGTTTTTTTAATACTAATAAGACACTTGAGAATATCAAAGCCGGTCGTGCAAATTCGTATTATTCAAGGGATAATTAATTGACACACAAAAGACTGCACAAAGGTGCACAAATGTATAAATAAAGCGTTATTGTTGTAAGGGGTTTGAATGGGCCTGTTCAAGAATCACAATAAGAAGCAGAGGTAGTATTCGAAGAGGGTTGGTATAAAAGGATTCGGAGAATAGAAAATAAAAATGAATGTATGGGATGTGTGGCCTTCGACGCATGGGATACGGATGACACACAGATGTTCGTTTTCCCCCTCACGTTGATGTTTCGAATCAATAAAGCAGCAACTCCCTCCCCCACCACAAGTCACATACACACAGGGTCCCACCTACTGGGTAGCTTATTGATTTTTTCCTCTTCCATTTCCTATCTTCCAACACTTTAATTCTGCGCTATGTCGAACACAGTTGTTTCTTTACTATTATTTACATCATTATAACTGTATTACAATTTTTACTTTCAAAGCGAGTACCCAGAGATAACTTTGTATACGCTTGTATAGTTATATAATCGTCGAAGAACTGACGCATGCACAATAATGCTGAAAATTTGGCAACACCGTAAGTACGTTCATCCAACGAATACAATAAAAACAAGCCTGTTTAATCGAGTAATCAGCTATCGTTCGACATCCCGATTGTTATTGTTATTATTATTTTGAGTATTTGTGATAACTATTCGTATAATACGCCACCATTCTAAATTTCTAACATCTTAATTGTAAATTGTATTTTTCATTTATAGAATTGTTGTCTGTTTTCTTTCTTGAACAGTAAAATATCAGAAACATGAATATCAATATGTTGTATGGCGGTGACGAAATCGGTGCGATCGTGTTCGACTTGGGGTCGCAATCAATGCGCATCGGTGCCGCCCAAGACGATTCCCCAAAATTTGAATTACCGTCTATGGTTGGAATATTGAACGACGGCACACCAGATACGAGTGCGTTGGAGCCAGGTGCCAAATCCGGCAACCGGATCAATGGAAACATGAAATATTTCACTGATGTTACGTCATTGAATGTCCCTCGTAAAGGTAGATAATAAATATATATATAGGTACTTTAAATATTTATAGGCCCCCCACACTAACAAATAAAGAGTACAGCCTTAGGTAATTAGTTGTTGTACTATACTTGTACTAAATTGTATGGTCGATATAACTAAATTATTTTAACATTGAATATAGTTGCTGTAACTATTTAATATTTGTACATCGACCGTTTTATATGGTACAATTTGGAATACTATTTTATATGTTAGTTAAGATTACTACACAATCAGTTGGTGCAACTAAACTTTTTAACTAATACATTTTAGTACTCTCAAATAAACACATTGTTTGCCACAACTATATAAATTGTTTTGCCCACTGAAAATGATTCAATTATTTACTATAACCAAATTATATTTCATAATTTTATTTCTAGACAAAGAAGTGAAAAACTGTATGAAAGACGGCATGATCGATGATTGGGATCTATTCGAAAAGATTGTTGATTACTCTTACTCAAAATGCTTACACACAGAGTCACAGTATCATCCAGTATTATTTAGTGAATCACCATTCAATACTAGATCTAAAAGAGAGGAACTGGTGGAATTAATGTTTGAAAAGTATAATGTGCCGGCTGTATATCTATGTAGAAATGCTGTATTAGCTGCATTTTCTTGTGGTCGTCCTACTAGTATTGTCGTTGATAGTGGTGCAATACATACATCTGCCATTCCCGTGCACGACGGCTTTGTAATACATTCTGCCGTTGTCAAATGTCCTTTGGGTGGAAATTTCATCAGCACGCAATGCAAAGAGTTTCTGGCTGTAAGTTAAATACAATTGTTAAAGCAATCCATTTGATTTTTCTATTTTGTCTTTGATAGGAAAATAATATCGAAGTGACACCACATTACATGGTAGCACAAAAGACACCGGTAAAAGATAAAGAAAAACCAATATGGACAAAGAAAAGGACACTACCAGAAGTGACAGACTCTTGGTATAATTATATGTGTCAGTCAGTTATTCAAGATTTTCAGCATTCTGTATTGCAAGTATCTGAAACTCCATATGATGAGAAAATTGTATCAACTCTACCAACTTCTCATTATGAGTTTCCTAATGGATACAATCAAGTAATAATAACATTGAGCTTATAGTAAAGTAGTAAAATTCAATAATAACTAATATTACAAATATTATCGTATTTATCTTATACGAATTTGGTTTATTAACTAAGAGTGGGATTAACCTTAGTGGGATTTTTTAACGGAATCCGTATTTGTAATATATAATATAATATATATACCTAACCTCGAAATCACGCAAGAAGTAACAACCAACAATGACGGTACTGACACGAAACCAATAAATAAATAACTTTGAATTAGTATTTTGAATTTTATTTTTTCTCAGTTTTTCATTAAGATTGCCTATACTATACCCCTTCAAATATGGATGTATAGCGTTCACTTCACTAGGACTGTTTTTTTTTGCTAAAAATACATAATATCTTCATTCCAACGTACTGTTCTATCTAATTATGTGATATGAATCTTGAAAACATATTTATTTTAAATTATTCGTCTTGTATTCTGTAGATCTCACTAACAACTTTTTAATAAATTTAGTCTTAGGGAATATTTTATAAAAATGTGAACATAAACAAATATTCAAAAGTAAACTACGTTGCTTCAAAAAAAATAAATGAAAACATTTCTTTATAAGATCTAAAGTAGGTAAACATAATATTAATACATTAGAATTCGTTTATAATATGAAAACTGCATGATCGGATTGATCGTTATGGAATAAAAATTGATTAAATTAACCAATACTCTATCTTAATATAGGTAACAAATTATATTATACTAGCTAAATAAATAATTTATTTATATATTCAATTATACTAGGTTTGGCAAGTTCCTTATAAAAAGGAATTCGTTCCTTTATCGTTCCT